ATGGATTGCACCCACTGAGAGATGCCTTTAATCTGAACTTTGGGTCTCAGCAGAGATGGGGAGTGATTTATTCAGATTCAGAATGGTGGGTGGTGAATAGGTGAAATAAGGTTGTCGGCACTTTTTCCCATCAGTTATTCTGGAGTGTTGAGTGTATGAACTCTGCTATAAAAGGGCACAATCAGCGACTGCAGTATTGCACACATTGTTGAGTTGTGACTGTGCAAAAATCTTAAGCGTTTTCAGAAAGTTACTTATTGAACTGAGGAAGCTTTTTTTTTTCCTGGTCTCCAAAGTGAGGGGACCAAGGCTTTTGTTGTATGAGCCAGAGAACTGTGACAGACATTTTGAATGAATTTTTGAAGATGCATTTTTCTTTCAGGACTCAAACCCTGCCTGAGTTTTGAGTTCCCTAAAAAAACACTAAAACAGTCCTACTAATGCATCCAGGAATCCTGTCGTTCCTTTGACTTCCCCGTCGACTGCTCATCTGATCAACTTCAAACCTGGTGAATATATTATTGGTGAATAAGCATCGAGTGAAGTGTTGTGTTGACGGTGAAGTGTGGTTCATGACCTCAACCTCAACCCTAACCCATTTATCTGAAACTTCACTTGCCGTGATGTATTTGACAGGCTGACATCACAGTGACATCACAGAATGTGCTTTTGGGATTCACAGATGGGCATATTTTAATCTGAATAAAACATATTTAGTATCACTTTAAAAACCACTCTGCCAACATTGTTAATCAAGTTTTAAAACTCTGAAATATGTTCTCTTTTTTATTTTTTGACAAATTTCAAATGCCAACATCTGTCCAACTCCCTGTTTAGCAATATGTGCACACGATCTGACATTTGTTCTGGTTCCGCTTGGATTTAACTTTACAGCCCTCTGGAAACCAAACAAGAAATTAGTAATTTTTGCCAGGTAGGGGAAGCTACATCCGACAAAACATCTGTTCCAACTTTGGCTTGTGGCAAATTGCATGCTGTGGATACAGATACGGTTCACTCCAGTTGTTTTGTTGCTGTCAGGAAACTAGAGGTCTTCTCTTATACCATGTGTTGGATGAGGGACGGCTCAAAAACAGCAGCAATCACACATTTTGATCTGCTGGTATAGATGTATGCATGATTCTATTATTATTTAATTATTTTTGACAATAATTTTCATCTTATTAAATTATTGTAAGTTTCAAAATCTTTGTGTCTTGGGTGTCTCTGGGTGTCATTTTGCTACATGAGTGTTTTATATTTTGCCACGTTTTGCAAGAAACCTGTTCCATCAACTACCATGAGCTTCGCAATTCTTATTATTTTTGATTGAATTTTATTAGGTCCATTATTATATGTGGAAATCAATACTAGTGTGTCTGTCCCTGGGCTTCTATCCAACAGCAAATGGATCCACAGTGCATCCATGACAACAGAGCTTTTTTATTAGATGGTTGGCTTATATGTGTCACCTTACATTTTCAAATAATATGGGTGCCACAGTTTCTGTAAATATATGGTGACTATTTATTCTACTAGTTTGTTTTTAGCTGATAGATCTTTATCAATACATGATACTGACAGCCCTCCCTCAAATGTGAAAGGAGTTATTGTGTGTGTGTGTGTGTGTGTGTTTCTAAATATATACTAGAAACTAGAAGTATAGGAAACATGCACATTGTGGCATTGTTTCCTTTGTTGTTGCTGCTCCTGTGATAAACCCAGTGAATACTGAAGAAGACTGTTGTCTCTGTGTGAACTGTTTAACAATTGTGAGTTTGAGGGTATTTAAATAAATTGGTAAGTAAGTCAGAGATGTGCTACTTTATTTAACTTCTTTTTTTTGTAAATTTGTTTTGCCTTTTTCTCTGTGCACGTCCCTTCAGTGGGAGAGAGGACCATAGAGGTCAGCACCACACAAATAGATGGTGACAAGAAGTTTTAATCATGTGCACAGCTCTAACTGAACTCCAGTTCTAGAGGGTAAAGACTGTGTATCGTGAGTGACAAGGAACTGTCTAGCTGTGTCCCAACTCATTGAGCACCTTCTTTGTGGGCCGACCACAAAGGCCAAACACAAACTAGATTGTCTGGTCGACAGAGGGATTTCCATGATGGGAGTCACTTGTCGTTTTAACTCTCCTTGGTTTTTTAACAAGTTGAGGTGCGATACCTAAAACAGTTTGTCACCAAAGTGCAAAGAATCCTTGGATATGTTGAATCAACACTTTGGAGTCTTCATTTCCTGATGATAAAAGGATGCATTTGTCTGTTGCATTTGTAGGAGCCGAGATGGGACTAGTTGTGCCGCTGTGACTCGGTTTTCAAATATTTCCCCTGAATTTACACACAGATATTGTTAGCGACTGTAGGATTATAATATAATTATGCTCCTGCTATAGATTCATGTTGTGGTTGTCTGATAGTTATATAGAAAATCAAAGTCATGATGGGAAACTCATTAAATGTATAATTTTCCTAGAGGAGGGGAAGAAGACATTAGAAAGGATCAAACAGAAAATAGGATGTAATTGTGTTTGTACAAGGTTTCTGCAACACACTGATTATATAAGTAATTAATAATTTATTAATCTTTAAACAAAAGCCTTTATCAAACCCTCTCCCCCCTTTCTGTTTCCCTCACTTCCTTTTTCCTTCTGGCTCTCATCTTTTACTTCCATCATTCTTGATCTGTTCTTTCCCTCTGAACGCAACATGTCCTTTCCTTCCTACCTCTTCCTTTTTCCTTCCGTTTTCATATCCACTCTTCACTTTGTCCTACTTGCATGTCATTGTCGGCTCTTAGCCTCCCTCCCATCACCTCTCTGTCTTATTCACCTCTGCATTGCTATTAAAACGATGCCCTGGCCTAGAGTTGCCATAGCAACCCGCTGACCTGCCCCCAGGCTGTGAAGTGCCGGGAGGGACAAACTCTATGGAGGAGTATCATCAGTCATTTCCACTAGACAAAAAAGACACACACACACACACACACACACACACACACACACACATACACACACACATACACACACACACAAGTACTCAAACAAACACAAAGAAATAGACTGGGATAGAATTCCCTCATCAGTGTGCTCGTGGCCATCCTGCCATGCTTTCCTCACAACGTTCATGTCGAAGGTCGCACACTGTCTACACACTTTTCTTCTTTGGAAGTTCCAGCTACTGTGTGAAAGCAGGGAGATTGCGAAATTAAAAATAAGAATATGTATCATTCTATTTCAACAACTTGGATGCACAATTGTAAATCAACTTTCATGGCAGGTTGTACATAAGTTACACCACCACAAGTTTTTGATACAAGAAGATAAAAGTTAATATCTCATTAATGAAGTCACCTATAAGTTGCTTTAATGCAATAATGATTAGGCCTTATAGTGTGAGTATAAAATACTAGCTAACGGATCTTGTCATGATGAAACTGCTGTGGTCATCATAGCAACATCATAGTGCTGCAGGTGATCCGGATGTGTTGCACAATATGACAGAACCAAATGAGTATAATGTGATTTAAAGTTTATTCAGACTTTTCTGTTCAACATTAGAGGAGTGAAAAGAGATCAATCTTTTTGCCACTATTTAAATGGTTTCTCTCAGAGCTGGAGGAAAAATGCAGCTGTAGTTAAGTAGAGATTATCTGCATACTGACAATACTTCTGAGCACTTTATCCTTTCCCAAAATCCCCCCTGATTCTGTCAGATGACTTCTTCAAACATCGGTTCAAATGAGAGAACACCTTTGTGCATCAAGCTGGCTTGTTAAAATGCGGCAGGCTGGCAGAGAGAGAGGACTGTGCGGTCACATAAGTGTGACTAATGACTTGGCTCGGACACGATTCCTTTCGTTCTCTCCACTTTTAGTTGCTTCTTCCCCTCCTTCTTCCCATCATTTAGTCAGTGCTTTAGTTTGGGCTTTGAATTTGGTTGTGTGCCTCACCTTGTTATACCAAAGCATGCAGCACAGAAGTGAGAGTGGTCAGCTGAGTGTGTAACTTCCCTCTAATTCATGACTTCATACAATCCAAATAATGAGTCAATTAGAGTAAATTATACATGTTTAGTGTCCACTGTAATTAGTTCACCTCTCTCTTTTCCTGTCTGACCTGAGTCTCTCCTTTTCCCAGCCTGCTTCCTCTCCTCTCTCCACTGGAACCATCAGGCTGTCTCTAGTCTTATTCTCTCCTGTCTGTCTCTTTGTCATCTTGTTTTCTCCTCTTCCTCACCCTCTTTGTCTTCCTCTCATCCTCCACCCCTCCCTCTTCCTCTCTGTCCTAGTTCTCATGGTCTCATGGTGAAGCTTTGTCTTATTACCATGCTAGCGTTTAATTGGACCAGTGTACACAAACACAGGGATCGACTGACTGAACACCCCTAACATGCAGTCACATGGCACCGTGCACACAGGCACACAAGTGCATGCACGCACACACACACACTCAAAGTGGTTATTTAGAAACACATTATGTGCACACGCACCCACCAAGTTAACATGCTCCAGTTATACAAATACACATAACACACAGCGCACGGTAAAATACTGTGGAGTCCATCCAGGTTGTACTACAGCTACCGTGTTGCTGCCCCTTCTGTGGCACTAAGGCGTGTTGGCTACAGTCGTAGATTGATTTTGGCACAGTTCGACCATGAGCTGCCTGTAGCTGCTGCCAGAGTAGAGTGAGTAGAGTCATCTAAGAACAGGCAGCAGCAGATGCACATTGGAAAAAAAAAGGCTTGTCAGACATCTAAGTACTGCACAGTCAGTCTCTTTTTAGGTTCATATAGAAAAACAATTACACACATCTTTCACACACATGTGGTCACCTCCCATTGTTGTGAATGTAAAATATGAGCAGTTTGATATATAACTATTAGCGTCGGGTTGGTTGCTTGGTTCTTCTTTGGGATGTTGATTGATTGATTTAGTAGTGTGATATGAGTAATCATGAAATATTTTCTGTTTTCCTCTCTGTGTGTTTCAGTCCTGCCCAGCCACACATGTGGCACCCCAGGCCTCATTCCAAACGGGGTCATTCATGGGTCGCGGTACAACATGGGGGACAAGATGCGATATAGCTGTGAGTCAGGTTTTGTGTTGGAAGGACACAGTATCCTCACATGTATTGTATCACCTGGCAGTGGAGCACAGTGGGACTTCCCATCACCATTTTGTAGAGGTAAGAGCTTTCTTTCTTTCTAATCACTGGGGTCGTTAGAGAGGAAGATGAGAAGAACCAGTGTATTGATTTATTTTAAATACACAGCAGGGTCTGACTCATATTATGCCCCAAATTTATATGAAGCAGATATAGGACAAAATCCTTTAGCAGATCTGTGCAGGTTTTCACCATCTGAGTCAGTAGATGGCAAAAATGCATTTTGTGCAGAGTGTGCATGGCCCCTCCAATGCATTTCATTAGCATGTGCATTATGTTAATTTATCTAATAATACATTAATCTGTTATATGTTTATTCATGAATAGAAATGAGAAATTAAGCTATTAAAAACATCTTTCATTAAGTGTGTTTTTATTTTTTGGATCAATTGATTCATTAAAACTATTTTATTAGTAGTATTAAAGTATTTTACATTTACATTTTGACAAGGTAATAATCACAATTACAAAAAAGCAATTGGAAACAAAAAAATGTAGAAAAAAGATCAAAGAGAAGTAATTTAAAAAAAGATAATAGATTAAAAATAAATATAAAAATACCAAGCCAGCCCAGGAAAGACCAAAATCAATGTATGAATAAAAATAAATACATGTTTTAAAGAGTTGCTCCCCCTTCTCACTCTGTCCTTCTACCCCACTGTCTGTCTCCAGCGGAGGGAGCATGTGGTGGTACGTTACGAGGCACCGCAGGTTCAATAACCAGTCCTGGATACCCTGCAGAGTATGACAACAACCTGGACTGTACATGGTCAATCCTTGCTGAGCCCGGGGACACCATTGCTCTAGTCTTCAATGACTTCTTACTAGAGGACAAATATGACTTCCTGGAAATCAGTGGAACAGAAGCACCAAGCATATGGTAAGACACATTTCCTATACAGACCACGTAGTAGAAACAAAGTCATGTTTTAGGGTACAGAAGACTACAACAGGACTGAGGCACTATATGCTGAATAGTGTATAAATACATAGTGACAAGCAGACAGACACAATCACCACTGACATTTGAGAGGTGAGTAGAAGATATGAAATATACAGAGAAACACACAGAATTTGGACACAGAAGCCTTGTTCTGCAGATTATGTGGCAACACAGGACACTTTTATTAGAATGAGTTGCCTGAAGCAGAGGCGTGACCAGGATCTTGAAAGGTTGGGGGTTAAGCCCAGCCACTGCACAGACAAACTATTTTGGTGTGTGGGCCTGTTAGGCCTCCTCACCGGTGACATCCAGTCACTGGGGGCATTGTTATGTCAATATGTACGTTTGAACATCTGGTTCGTCACACTCTCGATATCTCAAATTCTTTACAAATATATAAACTCGAACTCAAGGATGAACTGATTAGATTTATGGACGAAGGTCAAGGTTGCAGTAACCTCACAAAGCACAGTTTTTGCTGTGTGAAGGTGATATCTCTGGAACGCCATCAAGCAATCTGTCCACATTCGGCACAATCTTTTACTTTGAGACAAGGATTAACTAATTACATTTTTGTAGTCAAAGGTCAAGGTCAAAGTGCTCTCACAAAGTATTCTTCATGTTTTTCTTGAATGTGTTATCTTAAAATGAGCTTGAGGGAATGTCATGATGACCGCTCAAAGCGCTTCACTGTACAATTTTGCCATTCATCCATTCACACACACATTCATACAGTGCATCTATGGGCAGCACTTTTTTCTGTGAGGGGCCTTTCGGGGTTCAGTATCTTGCCCAAGGACACTACGGCATGCAGATGGGGAAGACTGGCCTGTAGATTAAACTCTAAACACAGTTCTTGTAGCCAGATGAAAGTGCAGCGAGAAGCATCTTGTCGTGAGATTATACAAAAGCAAACCATTAATGCACCGTTCCATCCCACAGGGGCTAGATAGTCATTAGAGCTCATTATTCCATATGGGCCCACAGTGAGTCACACAACATAGCAACACTACTGGATGATGCTACAGGCCAATATTCAATGCAGCAACAGGCGTACATCAATCAGCACTCTATTGCTATTTATTACTCACTGCAGTGTAATCAGTGGATTCTGTGCTCCGATAACATTTATCTTTCGTAACATCATCGAACATCATTTCTTTTTTTGTTGAGCTCTTGTCCCCTCTTTGAAGTTCTCGCTCATTCTCCTCCCTCTCTGTTGTATCCATTAACGTTGTTGGTCTATCTCTGCCGTTGCACACTGCTGTGCCTGTGGGGTTGTTATGATGATTTACATGGCTGTAATCGTACTGTCTGCCTCAGAAATACTTCCTGTTGTGCCTCGTGACAAACGTTTAAAAACCACTGAGCTACTTCAGCTAGCCTTCTCCACCGCCAACGTGAGCTCGTAGATGAGGCAGCGGCACGCTCACGTCCTGACAGGAGATAACTCTTCCTCCAGCTCCTCCAGTCTCGCCTGCGCCTCGTTGCCTTCATCCTTCTTCTTGGGAAAGCTTCTTATATTCATCGCCTTCAAGTCTTGCCTCAGTGAATTAGCTTGCTAGCTACCACCAGATGCCAACAATGACAAGCCCTGTAACCGGTGTGCTCTTTCTCTTGCTCTCTCACTTTCACACAAAATGTATATGTGCCAAGTGTGTGAAGTTGATCCGCTGCGTGAACGACACACAGTTATTAGAGCGTTTTTGATCAACAATAATGGATGACTGCAGTGACACGTGAATAAAGCCTGGCCACTTTTTTTCACTATTGCATTATATATAATTTTTATTATTTCACTATTATATATTTATATCCGGGACTTCATAAAACATTCAGGCCTGCAGCCTGTAGACATCCAGGCCTAATGTCCTAGAGCCTTCAGTGTTCCGTTAGCTGACTCATGGAAGTGAATAGCTTAAATTTTACTGCAGTTTTTACGAATGTTGGGAAGTAAGGATACAACTACGGATTAACTAGCCACATTGATTGATTAGGAGTCCTGCTGATTTTCCCAATTTATTTAAATCCCACAGGGAAGGTTGTTGTTTCATTCCTGTTTTGTTTGTTGGCAATAAAGCCAGCATTCTGGTGTACTACAGTACACCCAGGTTTTTAAATTTAGAGTGCTTTGGGGATTGATTTTGGTTTGTTCAGAATTTCCCACATCTCCTTTGAAGGCTTAAATGTGTTTTTGCAGTAGTGGAGGCAGCCTGATGGCAGCCTAGTTCAAGTCGATGGAAATCATGGATGAGAAAGTGAAAAGCTGTTTGTCTGTCTGAGAACCACCTCTGTTCAGAAGGCAGCATTAGTAGACTGGAATATTTGTCCTTTCTAAAATGTAGAATGAAATCTGTCTTTTAATCCCCAACAAATAATACACATTCATTCTTTTTCTGCCATTTTTACCACCTCTGATGTGTCTAATAAATCTGCTGTCCAGAGTGGCAGTACATTTTCAATTCAACAAATACAGATGTCCAGCCCCAGGTACGTTTAGATTATGGCCGTTAATTTAGATTTTCTTCAGTCTCACCAATAGCCGATGGTCCATTATTGAGCATTGAACAGTTAACTGACAAGATCTGTACTAGTTTTTATTCAGAAACATGTGGAGTTGCTCAAATAGGTTAGTCTTGTGCACAGTAACAAGTGTGAGACCCACGGTGGAAAATATCCAGATCAGATGGTACCGATATCCCAGAAATGCAGAGAGGGCATCTGGTGAATCAGTACAAATTTGTATTGAAAATTAAGGGTTTACATTTAATTATGAACATCCCTAGTTTACATTAAGGCTGGATAATCCTAATAAAGAAAGAAAGAACAGATATATGTGATTTTTCAAATTTGAGTCTTTATTCTTTTCTTACTGGGAAATATATTTTTTGCAAAGACATTTATAGACCACTATGTCCTGCAGAAACAGTCCCTGTTTTCACATTCTCTTTACTCCAGCTGACATCGTCTTCCATATGTAGAAAAAGTTTCATGATTGTGGTGCAGCTTTGAATGGATAGGTGGACAGATAAATAAGTGGAGTGAAGGAGGCCGAGGGGATTGCATTAAATGGAAACAACAGGAACGGAGAATAATTACACATTTAGTCCTGTCACAAGCTGAGCAGCACACAGGAAACCATGGCATTGTCATGACACCATTTGTGTGTTTGTATGTTTGTGTGTCAGGTCTTAAGTGGCCGCCTGACAGTGTGAGCTGTTGATCATTCCTCTCGGCTCTGACAGATTACACGCGCACACGCGGCTTATCTCTGACAGTAAAACATTCAAGGACCACTGTCATCCCACCCTCTGCAATGCAGGGGAAGACAGGGAGTGTACAGGAGAGTACACCAACATATTGATACCAAACGGTGACTGCAATATTTGAAGCCTTTTGTCGTCAAGATTCTCAAAGTATTGTTTCTACATCTAATAGTTTGCATTAATATATCATCTTAATTAAAACACTACATTACAGGAAGCACCACTACAAACAAATGGTGTCAACTCCAAAAACATACTGTTTACATGATTTTATTTTAGCACATTAAATACATTAATTAATTAAATCACAACACAATTACATTGGTCAACACATTCAAATTCATTATATCAATGTGCATTGTGTTTAAGTGGGCAGTTTTGGTGCACAAGCAAAGCAGAGAGTGGTGGGCAAAGGTCTCAAGTTGGAATCGAACCAGAGCTGTTGCAATTTTATGGCTTTCACCTTCACCGTCATAGGTCTCTTAGACACCAAGTATATCTTATCAAAGTTCAGTGATCTGGGCCTGAAACATTATAGTTATAAAAAAGGAAACTTAAATGGGCTTCTGACAATCTCAGGATCTCATACCATTCTATGTTCCTTTCCTCAGATGTGGGATTAAGTGATGACTGATGTTTTCACTGAGGCATCTGGTCAGGTCATTGTGGAAATGACTGACACCTGACAGGACCACTGTGACAGGTTCTTCCTGTTTACTGAGAGCTTTTTCTGATTGGCTGTCCCAAAAGCAATTTCCTGTTTCATGTTCCTGTCTGGTAGCTGGCAGGTTGAATGTCAGGTTGTCTATCTGTCACATATAAGCATACCCACAAACACTGCTGAGTACACACACACACATAAGTGCTTATATGTATCTATATCTATATCTATATATATATATACATTTGTATACACACACACACGAATGATTTGATTTCAGAATATGACCATGTCATGCCTTTCCTTTTATTCTTTTAATGAGACTGACATTGTATTTCTGTAGCTATTAACAAACTAATGCATCATATATTTCTAAGTGGAGAGATGATATTTCAATAGTACATGATGCATGTGAGCCATGATGGGGTCAGGCAGATAGAAAGAAGTATTTTGTAAGACCTCCAGGCATTAGTGGTGCTGGTGCCCACTGTAATCCAATGTCTTTATCTGACTCTATGGCTTATTGTGTGTATTTCTCCATGCATCCCTCTATTTAGCAAATGAAATGGCATCGGGTCACATAGCTGTTTCTGTGTATGCAGTTGAAGAGGTCATCAGTCATTTTCATTGCTGCTAATATTTTACATGAATCAATATGAAGATGCAGATTCTTTGTGATTTGAAAACTACATTTAGAAATATAGAGCAGATTGTTTCTGTGTTCTGACAGGTTGAATTTCTTGTCCATGTATGAATACTGGATTTCAGAATACCAAATGTGTCCTGTAAGGTGGTCCTTGTAATTACTGTTTGAAGGTCAACGGTTAAAGACACTGACAGTATTTACAAGCAGATGACTGGACTGATCGTGTGAGAGCTTCCTCAAATGTTTGTGCGATTATATTTAATTCCATACCAATATCCTGTATATCCTTAATATATTTCTACTACATCTACAATACACCATGCTGCTGTGATTTGATAAACGCTTACTCTCAAAACATATAGAT